ACCGGGACCGGTTATGGCCAATTATGAGAAAGCTTGGGACAAATTAGGACCGGCCCAGCCCGGGACCGTTTTTTGGCCATCACTACCTAAAACACACACTCTTATCACACCTAACAAAGGCCTCCTTCCCTTTTCATGAGCTTCATCAATCCTCTTTTGATGGTGGAACGAATTGATGATGCTATGTAAAACTGATATGGTATGTAATATTAATTTAAAAATATTATTGATTTTACATTAAGAAATACTAGGAAAAACGGTTTTATATGAATGTATTGAAAATATTAGTACTTGTTGAGAGCCTTTTTTTACTTCTCACATAGGACCTATTAAAAATGTCATGAACGGACCTGACGTTAGACCATCATGTTTTTGTGAGACCCTTGACACGTATTTTGTCTTTTTAAAATTTTATTTGTTATTTACCAAATCAAAAACCACAAGGACTAAATTATAAAATCGATTTTGATTGTTTAAAATACAAAAAACAATGAATAAAAAGACGAAAATGTACATCATTTAACATAATTTTCTAACCGTGAAAAAACCAAATGTAGAGGATTTTGTAAATCACAATAATTATCTTATAATTTTTAAATTGTAGAGACAAAATAATGTTATTTTGGACAAACAACAAAACCAAATTTATAGTTTACTCTTAAAATTAAGGGGTCGTTTAACCAAATGTTTACCCGGTAATCGCTTACCAATAGGAGTTAACACTATAATTTATTTTGACGTGTAAGATTTTAATACATCAAAACATATTGCATGCAACAATTTGTTGGGTAAGCGCTTATCTGAGTAAGAATCGTCATCATCACTAATCGGGTAAGATTTTCTATTCTTCTTATCGTTCTTACCCGATAAAATTCTTGATTTTTTCATGTTTATCCAATAAAAAAAAGTTCTGCTTTAAACATTTATTAAATAAATATTTAATAAGCCACGTCTAACTTTATTTAAAAAAGAAAAAAACAAAAGCAAAAGGTAGTCAAGCGTCTAGATGTGATAAGACCTGCCTTTTGAATCAAGTCACCTGGGGACGGATGCCATTTTGTTTGGACCACTTGGACCGTTTGACCATGTAAACTTGTCTTAAAAAATCAATTATTAAAGTTTATTTTATTAAACGTTTAGAGTCATATTATTTTACTGAATGAATATCTTTAGATCAAAAATCTTGTTTAGTAAAAGCGAAAACAAGGACCGAGAGTCATACCCGATAAATGAGTGCAATAGCTCTTACCATGGTTAACACTTACCGAGTATATTATTGCATACGATATCATTTTGGTGGACTAAAATCTTACTCAATAAGTAAGTAAGTAAATAATAATATTGGATTTTATCGATAAACGTTTATCCGGATAAGTTTTTGTTAAACGGCCCCCTTAATTTCAAAAGAAAAGGAAAGACCAATTAAAGAAATAGAAGAGTAAATTACAATTTTCGTCCTTGTGGTTTGTTAATAAGTTTAAAATTTATTATTGTGGTTTAGAAGTTGCGACTTTAGTTCTTGTGTTTTGCAATTTATTGCTATTTTCATCTCTGTACTGATCCCTACATTTAAACTACAAGGGACTTAATTTAGTAAATAATTGTAAATCAAAGGAGCAGAAACAATAATAAATTATAAATTATAAAAATGAAAATAACAATGCATTACAAACCATAGAGACGAAAACCGCAATTTCTAAACCAAAGGGACGAAAATCAAATTTTTTGACAAACATAAGGACAAATACGTAATTACTCTACATAGAAAACAAGATCAAAAACCGTAGATGTTAAAAACAATAAACTATACATAATGTTGTTAAAAATAATACTTAAAAGTAGAGATGATTAAAGATCAGTTATTGATCTGAAAAATTGGAAATTTCTGAACTTGATGGTACAAACTGATTCTAGTTTTTAATAAAATAAAAGGGTTTTATTGCTTCCGCCAAAGCAACATTTAAACGTTTGAATTTGTCACATCCCAAAATCCGAGGTTGTGACGGATTGACAATCAAAACATAAACCATTCAAATCGCAACTTGAAATAGAAATTTTAATAATCGGAGTCTTTACATCAAAAACCAGATATCCTAAATAATTTACATCATCTTCGTTCCCTTTGGAGCTCTTAGCACCAGTCGAGGAGCCACCTTGGAGTTAGGACAGGTAAACACCTGGTAAGTGACAAAGACTCTTACCGGGTAAAAGTTGTTTATCAACAATCCATTTTGATATACGAGAATGTTACCCGACAAGATAAGTGAGGGTGGTGACTATTACCAATAGACGCTTATCCGGTAAGCGTTTGGTAAACAACCGTTTACTCATGTTTACAAACTCTGCAAGTACAGAGGCACACCTTATGAAACATGTATTATAACCTCAAATCTGCAAGTACAAAGGTATACCTCGCGATACATGTACTAAAAACATCAAATCTACAAGTACAGACTGTGAGCTACACATCATGGTACAGGTACCAGATCATATTAATCGACTCGGTACAGATGTATTCACAACACATACTGGTCCATACATTGTTTGTGGTTTCCCGCTATATCTACTGAGTCATAAGTAGATAAAAACATTTCATGCATTTCAAAGCTCTTCATTGATGTTCAGATAACACACCGATCATGCATTTGCATAACCATTGTAAACATATAACTCAATCATAAAATAGTTAAAAACAACTTTCATATAAGTGTATCGCAATTTTAAAATCACATAAAGCTCACATTGGTGTGTTGACTTCTCTCATCCGTCCAAAGTTCCACCTACACATTTTATAACGTAATTCTAAGTATCTCGGTCATGTGGCGATCAATCAATAAACCAACAAAGTCTTAACTTACAACTTAGGGGCTGTTTGGCAGTTACTGAATGGTTTGGTACAGAATGATTAAGAGGCTTTTATGATATAGTGTAAAATGAAATATAATTTTTTGGTAATTGTTTACAATGAAATTAGTGTGCTTAATGGTTAAGGGAGGCCCATGATACAAAATTATTCATAGGGTTTTAGAATCATTAAGAGGCATACATTTTTTTACCAAACATGATTAACCTCTTAATGATTCAGATGTGGCATCTTAATGGAACTGTTAAGAAGTAAACAAACAACCCCTTAGATTAAATCTTCAAGCCGACTCAAATACTTAAGTCTCAAGTTCTTCCTTTAGTTCACTCAAATCCTTAAAATATATTGTGCATATTGTCTTTCAGGTTGATGCCAAATCCCAACCCATTTAAAAAAAGTTAGGAGTTGTTTGTTTACCTCTTAATAGTTTGGTAAAAAACTGGCTCTTAATTGTTAAGTGTGAATCTTGTTTGGTAAAAAAAAACTGGCTCTTAATGGTTTTAAAACCCTCTGAATGATTTTGTATACCGAGCCTCCCTTAAAGCATTCAACGCCCTAATTCAATTGTAAGCAATTACCGAACAATATATATATATATATATAATGAGATCCTCTTAATCATTCTAACCACTTAATCATTATACATCAAACCATTCAACAACTGACAAACAGCCCCTTAATCATATTATAAACGTTTAAATACACGACTCCTTAATCACTTCAAATATCAAAGTAACAAATTATCTTTAACATTAATAAATACATAATTTAATAAATATGGAGAAAAGAACCACCTCCTTTTTTTCTTTGCTGCACGTAGGCTAGTGAACAAAATTTAGCCCAGCAGCCCATAAAAATATCAGAAAATCAGTAAACACTCAGCTAATGGTCCAATGGACTAGCCGGCTAGGGGTGTGCATTGGTGGGACCGACGGGTTCAGGTGGATAAACAAAAAATTCGATCGGATTTAAGGTATGAAAATCAAGATCCGAATTTTAGGTTTTGGATTTTGGATTGGTTCAAGTTCGGGCTTCGGGTTGAGATCGTCGGGTATAGTAAGTTATGAAATTCTAGAACATTTCGACCGACTAGAATTTAGGATTTAAAAAACATAATTAGAGATAAACAAATATATTTTATATAATATACACGCACGTATAGGGACTCATTCAAGGAGAACTGATTAGTTTGTGCTAACTGTGAGATCCAATGTAAACCATTCGTTTGAGATATTTAAGGATATTTCTTAAATCAGTTAAAAAAAGTAATATAGTAATTCTATTTTTGACAACTAATCAAAATATTTAATTAAATTTTTTAGAAGAAAATATTTAATTAAAATTAGTTTCTAGTATATCAATTACCTAATATACATTCTATTTTAAAGACGTTTATAAATCAAAGTGTATCATAGTAATAATGTTCACAATGTTTCACGTGTATCACAATATATTTTCTTTGTTTTATGAAATATATCATAGGGTGCATTTTGGTTATTTCATTGCTTTATAAAAGGTGTCACATTGTGCATCTTGTATGTATATCTGGGTATCACAGTGAATATCGCTTGTAAGTATCACAACGTGTATCTTGTGTTCACATAAGGTTTATCACCCAATTAATCCCATCCCCCTCTTTTCTTTTTGATTTGGATCGGTTTTCATTGAATCTCTAAATAAAACTTCTATAAACTATATTTATAATTAATTAGTGTTAATAAGGTTGATTGGATTGGTGGGAGTGTAGCAATTTATGAAGAACATAGTGTGTTATAAACCTAAGTCTCTTTCCTCTATACCAATTGACACCATCCTTAATTATTAAATGAATCAGATAAACATTTAGTAAATAAGTTTTAGGTACTGTTTACTAAACACACACTTACTTGGTAAGTACTTACCGGATAAATTTCCGTATCAGATGAACATGAGAAAGGCCAAATATCTTACCGGGTAAGAGCAATAAAAAGGATAGAGAGTCTTACCCGGTAAGTAAGGATGGCGACTCTTACCCAGGTAAATACTTACCCAGTAACTTGTTGCATTCGATATGTTTCGATATATATAAAAATCTTACGTATCAAAATAAATTATAATATTGAATTCTACCAATAAGTACTTACTGGGTAAACATTTAAGTAAACGGCTGAGGTTCCTTCTCATGACGATACATAGTGGCTATTTGCTATTATGCCAACCCTAAACTACAAATTTGGTCTGCTAAACTTTCTGAAAATATACCTGATTTTCATTGTTTGCATTTTGCTCCGAAAATGGTTCCGTTACTTGTTTTTCTTCGCCTTCCTCGCAACTTGGACCTATGGCATGGAAAGATCAATCGAAAGTCGTCAAAACCCATTCTTCAGTTGATCATTTTATGAGACCGAACCCGAATAACTGGGTTCGACTTTGCTTAAATTTACCAATAATCACCACAGGAGCAACAACCGTTCTTGAAGTGGTGAAACCGGCTTCGATCTCGGACCACGATTTCCCTTTCAAACGACTCCGAAACTAGCTTCATCACGGCATGACAATCGCCACAAATTCGCAAATTCTTCACTACACGTATCACGCTCCCCTTCTCCGTGGCAATAAGTCCAAAAGCCACCGCCATCTTCTCGCTATGATACGCCAAAACCTTATCTTTCTCTTCATCTTCAACATCAAAAAACACCTCGTTTCTGCTGGAAACGTGTCCCACGGCCCGCAAACGTCTCGAGATCTCATCAATCATATTACGAATCTCCTCCACTCTCGGATGGATCTTTTCCTCGGCCCCAAACTCATGGATCTCGCCGTTCACCTCAATCGAACTGCACCCACGAAGCTTATCGACCCCTTTTTGTAGCATAAATTCTCGTGTCTTTGACACATCGTCCCACCTTCCGGCATTTGCGTATATGTTTGACATCATAGTAAGGTAACCCCCATCGTTATGCTCGATTTCATTCAAATGTTTGATAGCCGTTTCGGCTAACTCGACGTTCTTATGGAGCTTGCAGGCTCCAAGGAGCGCACCCCAGACCCCTGTGTGTGGTTCCATCGGCATAGTGCAGATTAACTTGTATGCTTCGTCTAGTAAACCCGCCCGACCAAGAAGATCGACCATACAACCGTAATGCTCTAGTCTAGGAACCATACCGAGTTCTTGAATCATGCTGTCGAACAACTCTCGGCCTTCATTTACAAATCCTCCATGCACACACGCACATAGAACACTGAGAATCGTGGTTTCATTTGGCACAACTGATTCTTGTTTCATACGGGAAAAGAATTGGAACGTCATATTACTTTGTCCGTTCATGGAGAATCCCATAATCATGGCATTCCAAGAAACGACATCACGATTCTGCAACTTATTAAACACATATTCTGCGCTCTCCAAGTCTCCACATTTGGAATACATATCCACCAAAGCGGTCCCAACTACGATATTTGAACCATGATTGTTCCTATCGATATATGAATGTAACCATCGGCCTATATCTAAAGCTCCAACTTGAGCACAAGCCGTTAAAAGGCTTACTAATGTGATTTCATTTGGGTATACGATTTCAGTCTGCATTTGGTGGAAATGGCTCATAGCTTCATCAATTCGCCTGTCCCGTACCAATCCACCAATTACCGAGTTCCAAGATACCAAATCTTTTGTGGGCATATCACGGAAAAACTTGAGCATATCATCGATTTCGCCATTTCGGGCATAGGCACCTAAAACCGTATTGTACATCAACAAATCTTTAACAGGAGCTAAATTGAAAAGCACCTCTGCGTTGTGAACATCACCAGATTTGATATACTGAAAGATCATGATATTCCAAACCACGAGATCCTTATTGGGCATTTGATCGAACAGTTTACGGGCGTCCTCTAGATCACTGCATTTATTTACACACGAAGACAGCAAAACAGTCCAAGCGACCTTATCTTTCATTGGCATTTCATCGAAAACATGGCGAGCTGCCTTTGTATCACCAAAACCACCATAGAATCCAATCAAACTCGTACCAACAAAAGTGTCTAACTCAAGCCCGACCTTCAATACCAACCCATGAATGCATAGCCCTCTAAGATGATCCATCAACTCGGCACAAGCCCGTATTACGAAAGGAAAAGTAAAACAATCAGGACCAGCGGGCTCAAACCGCATGCGATCGAATAGAAGCATGGCATTTTTGGGTTGATGGTTCTGCTGGAATCCTCTGATCATGGTGTTCCAGACGAATGAGTTTGGTTCAGGCATTTGGTCGAACAGTTGGGCGGCGTAGGACATGAGACCTTGATTTGCACAGCAGTTGACAAAATTTCCAATGGCAAAACTAGTTCGGTGAAGACCCGTTCGGAGAAGGATGACGTGGATGGACCTGAGATGTTTGACGCATTTGATTGATTGAGGAGTCTTGAGGAGAGACAAAACAAGCTGCTTCTGTGGGGTTTCTAGTTCCGTCATCTCTCCAACCATCCATGGATTCTTTGAATTTCAAACGTAGGTATTGATCGCCATGTTTTGATTTTGGGTGAATGGTTGCATGAGATTGCTTATAAAAACAATTTAATGATTTCTTCCGATACGATGACAAGATATATATCTATGTTAATGTTTTGTTTTATCTTTTGTTTATGTCAATATTATAAAACAATTTTATGATTTTGAAAAAACGATAACATTTTTATTTTTGAAGATATCTTAAAATTTGAAATAAAAAAATATATAGATATTAATATTAAATTAACTATTTAAAAGTTTTCATTTTTTATAATTTTTTTAATTCAAATTTTTACTATAACTTAATCTAAACTTAATAAAGTAATTTATTTTTGGTTTAATAAATACAAGTTTTTATAAAAATCATTAATTAAGTATTCTGTCATAACTTAATGATTATCTTAATTATATTTCAATTTTTTATATTTAAAATGAGATATTTATACTTATTTGGTTATATTTATCCGTTGTTAGTTACACAGATTCAATAAAGAGCTTTAATAAGTTGTAGTTACGCACAATTTATTTATAATCTTAAATTTTAAGTAATGTGCATCAATAAGCGATACTTTATACAAAAATAATAGTTTTTAAGAGTTCTTACTAAATGTTTTATAATATAGCATAGATTAGACTTTTTTGAACTGGTCTTCGAACTTTATGTAAGATGATATGTCAAATCGTGACCTTGTCGATTAAAAATTGTGAGCGAATTTTGGCCAGCTCTATCTGAAACCACTTGAATTATAAAGCACCGGATGAACAAAATCGAAAACCAACCCCAAAGAATTGAAGTATTACACACGATATCCAAAAGCTTTATAGAAACTCTAATATTTTTTGAGAATTTATAGCCGGTCAATTAAAAAATTTTATTTTCTAATTTTTTTAAACTATTTAAAAATAAATTAATAATAAAGTTGAGAAATATAAACTCTCCATGTTTCCCGGTCACCCATTCATATAAAACATCCTTAATCTTCCCAAAATTACACCACCACCCATATCCATATTCTCTTTACCTCCGGCGACGACCATGGTCGGCAAGAATTCACACGGCCATATTGAAATCAAGGTGCAAAGCGTCCCTCCTCCTCCGCCACCTTCACTTTTCCGGCCACCGTATGAATGGTATCCCTGGATAGTCACTATGTTCGTTAACATCGACATCATCATCTTCATAGTCTCCATGTACATCAATAACTGCCCTGCCCATTCTCGGAATTGCATCGGCGCACCAACACTTCAACGATTCGCTTTCGAAAATATCCATCAAAACCCCCTTCTCGGCCCTTCTACCGACACGTACGATACGTTCCATTCCATGATTTTGAATATCGCTTACGTTTTTGTACGGATTCGAAAACTAATTTAATGTGGGATTTTGATTTTATATAGGTTGGTGAAAATGGGGGCTTTGGATGCAGATAAGGTGATCCGAGGAGGACAACAATGGCGAATCTTGACTTGTATGTGGTTGCACGCCGGGGTCTTCCATATTTTCGCTAATATGTTGAGTCTTCTCGGCGTTGGAGTTCGTCTTGAGCAGGAGTTCGGATTTGGTGAGTGGATTGTTTACGTTTACGCCTCTAAATGATTCGCATTTTTTGAGTACGTTTACGCCTCTAAATGATTCGCATTTTTTGAGTTTTCTTATTCGAATTGTTTTCCCGTAGTAAGAATCGGATTGGTTTATATACTGTCCGGAATCGGTGGTAGCTTGTTGTCGGCGTTATTCGTCCGGAAAACGATCTCCGTTGGTGCATCAGGAGCGCTATTCGGTTTACTTGGATCAATGCTTTCCGAACTACTTACAAATTGGACGATTTACACCAACAAGGTATGTATCACTTGATACATTAGTCGATTGTTGTGTTCCATGTATATCAACTAGATACAGACCATCAAATATATATATATATATATATATATATATATATATATATATATATATAGGTGGAGGTTCAAACGAGAACACCTCTATTTTACGAGAAAGCGAGAACGCCCTTATCACATGTGATACTACGCGTGAGAGGACCTTGTGATGTGCGGGCGACGTGTTCTACGACTTAGGCCGCGCAAAAGGTTGTCTGCGTGTATGATTTAGCATCGCATGTGATGGTCTTGATGGATTATAATATCATATCAACAACAACGTTATTACATGTGATAATACTTGTGAGGGGGTTTAGTGGTGTAAAGGCGACTTGGCCCGCAACCAAAATCACATCAAAAATCATCCGCGTCTCTGATTTAGTATCACATATGTATCAGATGTGATGGAATAATAGTATCACATGTGATTGTCTATAGTAAAAGGGTGTTCTTGCGTTCTCGTAAAATGAAGGTGTTCTCGTTTGAATCATTCCCTATATATATATATATATATATATATATATATATATATAGATCCATCCAAGGAAGAACTGAATAGTTTGTGGTAACCGTGAGATCCAATCTCAACCACAAATCAAAGGTTAAATTAAGAAATTAATAATTATGGTAATTTGAGTTAAAATTATAATTAGAGGATATTTTAGGTATTTTTAAGAAACTCATCTTTCCGACCTCCAATCTCCGGCCTCCGGTGAACATTAATCCGGCAGGTACCAAGTAATCACAAAGATACATAATGTGATACTCATTGTGATATACTGAGATACCATTATGATACCAACTATGATACCAACTCAAACCATAAAAACAAAGATACCCATTGTGATATACTGTGATACCGATTTCACTGGAGATTGGAGGTCGGAGAGATGAGAGAGGAGTTTTTTAAAAATACATAATATGCCCTCTAATTATAATTTTAACTCAAACTACCATAATTATTAATTTTCTAATTTATCCATTGAATTGTGCTTGAGATTGGATCTTACAATTACCACAAACTAATCAGTTCTCATTTGATTAAGTATATATATATATA